ATATTGGGGTCAGATTTGGACATGAACTTCGACTAAAAAATCGGTGTCGAGATTTGAATGCCAGATTAATCTAGAGGAAAAACCATGAAGAAAAGGCCAAACTTCGTGAAAATCGGATGAGATTTGACCGAGTTATGGGGGTGGTAATTTTTGACCCATGTCTATATACGAAACTTGGGGTAAGATTTGGACATGAATTTCGACCAAAAAATCGGTGTCGAATTTTGAATGCCAGATTAATCTAAAGGGAAAACCATAAAGAAAAAGCCAAACTTCGTGAAAATCGGATGAGATTTGACCGAGTTATGGGGGTGGTAATTTTTGACCCATGTCTATATACGAATCTTGGGGTAAGATTTGGACATGAATTTCGACCAAAAAATCGGTGTCGAGATTTGAATGCCAGATTAATCTAGAGGAAAAACCATGAAGAAAAGGCCAAACTTCGTGAAAATCGGATGAGATTTGACCGAGTTATGGGGGTGGTAATTTTTGACCCATGTCTATATACGAAACTTGGGGTAAGATTTGGACATGAATTTCGACCAAATAATCGGTGTCGAGATTTGAATGCCAGGTTAATCTAGAGGGAAAACCATGAAGAAAAAGCCAAACTTCGTGAAAATCGGATTAGATTTGGCCGAGTTATGGGGGTGGTAATTTTTGACCCATGTCTATATACGAATCTTTGGGTCAGATTTGGACATGAATTTCGACTAAAAAATCGGTGTCGAGATTTGAATGCCAGATTAATCTAGAGGAAAAACCATGAAGAAAAGGCCAAACTTCGTGAAAATCGGATGAGATTTGACCGAGTTATGGGGATGGTAATTTTTGACCCATGTCTATATACGAAACTTGGGGTAAGATTTGGACATGAATTTCGACCAAAAAATCGGTGTCGAGATTTGAATGCCAGATTAATCTAAAGGGAAAACCATAAAGAAAAAGCCAAACTTCGTGAAAATCGGATGAGATTTGGCCGAGTTATGGGGGTGGTAATTTTTGACACATGTTTATATACGAATCTTGGGGTAAGATTTGGACATGAATTTCGACCAAAAAATCGGTGTCGAGATTTGAATGCCAGATTAATCTAAATGGAAAACCATGAAAAAAAATCTATATCATATATCGATATCGATTTTTATCGATTGCTTGGAAACGGAGTAAGTTATCGATTATCGGAAACAAACTCGATCTGCGTGGGAACTAGGAGCATCTACATCTAAAATCTAGTCTCTAGCTCTTATAGGTTCTGAGAGCCTTGCGTTCATACATACGGACGGACGGACGGACGGACGGACGGACCGACGGACGGACAGACAGACGGACATGGCTAGATCGACTCGGCTATTGATGCTGATCAAGAATATATATAATTTATGGGGTCGGAGTTGCTTCCTTCTGCCTGTTACATACATTTGGCTTACGCACAAATACAATATACCCTTATAACCATTTTTAATGGGTTCAGGGTATGAAAATAAATAGTAAAATACACATATAATTCTTTTAATTGTTAGAGGTTAAGTTTTTTTTTCGATATTTTAATATATTTACTCATAATTTATATAGGGAAAATTTGCTTCGCATTGTTAAATTCGATACATTTTAAACATATTTTAAACTTACTTGTGTAAATATATATATCTTACCTAGTTGGAAGTATAAATACATGTAATACTCATTGAAAGTTTTTTATTCATATTGAAAAGACAAAACTTTCAAACTAATTACTAACACAACTGCAAAATGTGTATGCACTTAATAAGTAAATAAACAAACAATTTATATTTTTCAACTAATGTAAATATATGAATATTTTTAACATCAGTTAGGCATATGCCAGGCTTCATAAACTTTCAAAACGATAATACGGAATGTTCATCATACTTTCTCTTTTTTGTTCTTTTTTTTTTACCAGTAAGATCTCATTCCCCCTTTGCTTTGTTAACTTTAAGCGCCCCCAGATCAGGGCAAAAAATAAAAATACAACAAAATAAAAAATAGACAAAGTACAAGTCCCTATGTTATGCATATCCTGAACGAGAAGCTGGGCCCCGCCTCTCGAACCAAAATCCGTACCCGTTGCCACCTCGCAATGGCAGAAATGGGATTTTCAAACATATCGCATATACAAAATGCAAACATGTCTGGCAAACACAAATCCCATAAATGTTTTGTGCGGTGCTGAGGTGCTGGACTGGGTGGGTCTTTGGGGTAGTGATAAAAACTTGCAAAAAATATTTTCATATGTGAAAATGTGTAAAGTGTAAAAGTTTCCAATGTTTGGAGAGCGCGCGCGCAGTTTGCCTTTTTGTTATTTCCTATTTCCACATTGTGTTTATATTTTGTGTGTGATTTTTTTTACGCTGTTTTCTGTTTGCACTGTCTGAATGTCCCTAAGTCCGTCTGTCTATCTTTCTATCTGTCGCTGTGTGAGCATCAGGTGCTGTGGCAAAAGAAATTACAACAAATCCATTTGTGAAATTGCAAACCGAGACAAACCACGACCACGACGACGACGACTACGACGGCCACGACGGCGGCGATGAGGACTGAGATGATGATGACGCCTCCTCCACCAGCACCGGCAACGCTTATCCGGTTGCCTTTGATGCTCCACTATTTTTGTTGTTGTTCTTTTTTTTGGGGTATATGTGCTAGCTGCTCTTTTGCCTGGCACTGACAGCACTTCGAGCAGCACTTTAAGAGCCGTAGACGACGTCGGTGCTAACCAATTACATGGCTGGCCAGTGCGCCAGGGCTCCTCCTGTCATTATGCACTCAAAAATCAAGATGGAAGGCACTCGCTGCCTGTCATTTGCCTGGGCAAACATTCATCTTACTAAAGTTGGCCAGTCGGCAGGCCCAGCAAAATGCCCTTAAAAAGCCCAACCCAACCCAACAATGCCATCGCCTCCTGCTTTCTTTCTGGCCTTGCCCAGCCAAGCACAGCGACGAGACATTCATCAATTTGTTAAGCGAAGCCGAGCAAAAAAGCGAAATTGAAACGAACATTTTTCGTGCTGCCGCTGCAGCTTGCATATAAATTTGCAAAAATAAGTGCAGCTTTGGAGCAGCGCCCGGCTTCCAGCAACTGGCAGCTATCTGCTCCTAGCAGCACCTAACCCACACCCACACCAGCTCCCGCACCCGCCAGGACAGCAAACTACACACGTCAAATTTCAAACAAGTTCGGCCGCCGCAGGACATGCAACAAACGACAGCAGGCAGCACCGAGCTCGTATCCGTGTGCAGGAGCTGTAGGAAAAAAATAAAAAGGCTGCCAAAGGAGTTTCTAGACTGCCAGACTAGTTGGATTCGAGCTTCTGGTTCCTGGCTGGCAGCAGGTGGGTTGCCATTTTTTTTGCTCCACTTTGTTTTTGTAAGCGCTCTGCTCGTATCTAACGTTGCGATGCGAAGCGGCGCCCCGGTGAAATGGGCAACTACTGAGCTGAGCTGCAGGAATTCGAGCCTTGCATAGCTTCGGAGCTACTGCGTCCAATGCTGCCTTTAGCAACTTCGACAGCCACAACTCGTGCTTGTCTGGCTCAAAGTTTATGCCGTCTGCAAAATATGCCTCAGCTTTCATGGCCTTTTAACAAAGTCTACAAAATTTGTGCTTAACGAACAAACCAATGGCTAATATAATGTAAGCTTTATGCAAACAGAAAAATAAGGTGAACAAATAATAGTGAAAACATTTTGGAGTAGTTGTATATTATAATCCGGTAATCTCTTTTTCATAAGGATGAATAGTAATCGAACGGAAACTATTCTTATTGACCCATATTTACAATTTCAAAGATATAGTTGACATCTATCAGGTAGCCTGTATTTAAGTATTTTCCGAAAATATAATCAAGATTGTTCGCGTTGCCTCTATTGTTACTTAAAGCTTGCAATTCCCAACAAGGTAAAGCTTTAAAAATGAAACAAGACGTTTGTAAGAAAATAGTTAAAAGCTTTTGCTACAGCAAGCTGAAGATAGAAGCTGCAAATTATTCAAAAAATAGTTTACATTGGCATCGATGTGAACAGCTTTATATTTGTACTTTAAGGCTAAGAATATAAATTGAAAATTGTTATTTTCTCTGTTTGAAAATAAGGCTTGTTTCAGTTTGAGCGAGACTGTTAACTGTGCAATCTGATTCAAAGTTCGATTCCAGGCCCGCAGGGCTTGCCGCTCTTTTGCCCATTCAACTGGTATAAGCTTATATTGATTCTTATATAAAATATGTTTTATTTAAATAATAAAAAAAAAATATAATAATTGGCCTCTCAGACATAACTTCATTGACTTTATTGTATTTATGATGGACTTATGCTGGCCGTTGGATATAGAAAAAAGACAAATACAAACTTGTATTTAATGCACAACAATTTATAAAGCTAGCTTCGTGTTGTATTTTTTTTGCTTGGCTCTGAAAGTTTTGAGCCTGAAACAATAAATGCAGCAGCTACAACTCGAAACGCACAACTTTTTGTTTCTCCAAGCCCCACCAGTGCGAAATGAGCCCAATGCTGTCCTATACCATTCCTTAGCTACCTGTGTGGCTATATTTTGAATCAGAGAAAAAGAAAGAGAGAGAAAGGTAGCTGCAGAAGGAGCACACGTTAGTTTGGGGAATTGCAAATAAATATTTCAACTGCAGTTGCAGATTATTTTTGTGCTGCGACTGCTTGGAAACTAGAATGCGAATTCTCTACAAATGTTGGCCAAAAAAAATATAGAAAAATATATGTATGCATGGGGCACGTGAAACGGAGCAAACAAAGCCAAACTGCTGAGACAAGGAGAAACAACTCAGCTTAGATTTCTCCGGGGAGCTATGATAAAGTGCACACCACGGCAAACGGCATAATGAAGACAAATAGAGAAGAGAGGAGTTGGGTTTTTGCTTTTTGGCTTGGCTTTTGCCTTGGATAATTTCAATTTATTTGCCTTCGATTCTCAACTGCGGAATACAAAAATCGCTCGCCGCTCACTGGGCTCACTTTCGATTCTGATTGTAGTTCCTCAGGTAGATGCCGGCAGCAGCCTCTTGGAAGTGCCTGCGTCGCTTGTCCTGCAGCAGGAGCGAGAGCAACTGCTTGGTGCTTAAGCCACGAGCTGCCTGCCGCTCCAGCAGCGCCAGCTCATCCTCGGCCAGATCCTCGTCACGCTCCTCAGCGCCATATTGAGCCAACGGCGCTTGGGCAGCGGCCAACGCTGCTGCTGCTGCTGCCTCCGACTCATTGTCCGCCGCGTTGATCACTTCCGTATCATCCTCCTGGGCATTAAGACCCTGCAGTAGATCAATAATGGGAACGGCATTGCGACGCAAGCCCCCGCTTCTGCCGCCAGTAGTGGCCGCAGCTGGAGCAGCGGGGGCAGTAAGATTCTGCGCATTGTTCGGGTTGATGATTATAATCGAGGGTCCGCCTCCACCGAAATAGTCGTTGAGTCCAGGAACCTGGAAGGGTGGACGCTGTGGAGTCGGTGGATACGGGTATGGATAGTAGTCAGGATAGTAGGGACGACGATGATGATGTCTGTCGGATTCATCCGAATTGGGTTGCACAATGACGATCGGTTGCTGCGGTTTGTTTTCAGAGCGTCTGTTCCAAAGCAGTAGGCGTGGTTGAATTGCAGCAAGTGCTGTGGGCGTGGTTCAACGAAGGTAAAGATGAATAAAAATGAATTTGTATAAGACAAAGCTGGAAGTACAACCTAGACAACTTTTCTAATCGAATCAATTAACAGTTGGAAATTGAAAGAAAATTTTGATCAACTTTGACTAACCATCTACCTAACAATATTATTTGATGCTGAACCCACAATTTACTTAATCTTCAATTCTATTTCTTCTCAATATCCTTCTTAAATCTCTGGATTGATGATTATGTTGCTATCTAGTAAATGGCGCTGAGTAGTGTCCTGTGTTTTTATAAGATGATTCTCGTATTTATAGTCAACCTGTCGAGTCGAAATCCAGGGGGGCCACTTTAACCAGTGTAAATTGTCCAAGGTGGATCGACTTTTAGAAGTATATTAAGTAGACGTATTCTGCTTATCAACACCTATGATAACTGACATCCATACACGAATCCAATGTTGCTTTAATAATCCGCCTTAGATAGTTTTCAAAATTCCTGTTTTCTCTCTCTGTTTTCTGTTTAGTCCCAGCTAGAATTTCCCAATACCTAAAAGTCCTTAACTCACCAGCTTTATGTCCAGAGGATTCTACGGAGCTGCTGGGACTGGCAGCGTTGATGGCCACGCAGGCAGCTAAGAGCAAGAAACTGGAAATAGAATGCTTAAACATCTTGGTAGCTTCAGTGGGTGATGATGACTGTGCTCCTAAAGACGATCACAAGGGGCTTATATAGCACCTGTATGTGTAACTGTAACACGTAGAACCTCACACACTGCCTACTTTCTAAGTGTTTCCCCGCTTAAGTGCCATTTCGCTGTAATCGTCTCGACCATGCGTCAAGTGCTAATTCGATGGATGATCTATTGAGCCGAATGCTTGTTAATATTATCGCCTCGTAAATCAATTTCAAAGCAATGTCTGCTGCTTTGTCTGTTTATTGCAATCGTAAAATGTTTCGGAACTGGACTGTCTCACAATACTTTTATTCTTTTAGCGCAACTCTTTGACCGAGTTTATGTTTATGTTTTGCATTTGGCCGCTTTCATGATCGATTTAGCATTAAGTTGATAGTGCCTGTGTGTGTGTGTGTGTGTGTGTGTGTCTGCCTCGGGCCAACAGCGGGCGCTAATTTGTTTAGTTTACGAGTAGATCAGATATTTATGGCCTGCAATTGTAGGCCGCCTGGATAATTTGCAGGCCGGCAAAAGGCCGTTGGCCTTTTACGTCGCGCTGTGTACATTGAACTTGGGAAATTCTGTCTCCCATCTGAAGTTCTCGAAAGGTGCGTCAGATTGGCAAGCATGTGATACAATTTAGACGCAGGAATGATTCAGCAAAGTTGAGGCTGGGGCCATTCCATGACACATGCCAAACATTAATGTGAAAGTGCCAGTTGAATTGGTGTTTGATATTTCGAATTGGGGCGATTTTGTGTAACGATAGTTGAAGAAGATTTTATTACCACTTAAAAGACTTGGACATTGCAAATTGTTATAAATGTTGCGGCGTATTACAAAAGGAAATGCTTTTGATCAACTTTCATGTGCTAGTTCTGCATATCTCAATTAAGCATTGTCTATTCAAGATGAAGAAATGGTTTTCTTTTATCCAATGTTTCCCAAATTCCAAAATCATCGTCGCCAAATGGTTTGTGGTATCATATATATGTTGGCTATACTCATACAGATTTGTTACAAAGTATTTTTATTTTTTTGAACAACCCAAACATTAGTTTGCAATCTCCTGCTGTGCGTCCCATATCAATTTTCTTGTACGTTGTCCCTATAATAAATCCATTTCCTTTCTTACGGCTGAGTAAATACTAGCTTGGCAATGTGAAAGCCTCACCAACTAAAAAGTAAATGGCAAACAGCAAATAATATCAAACAATACCCGTTGCCATATACGACTAATAAAAGTGAAAGCCGACGTCATCCTTCGCAATCAGGGACCAGGGACAACAATAAATCCTAGATACACAAAAAAAGTACAGCCACACACGAGGTAAATATTATTTAAAAAACCAAAACACGTAAGCAACACAAATCGCACTCAATCAAAATCACCTCGAGACCACACCAAAGACACCAGCGAAAGCTTAAAAGATGAAATCCTCAGAAAGTTGGAAGGACTAATACGAGGAGCTCTCTCTCACCCCCTCTCCCGATATATATAGATAGCTCTGTCTTGGCCAGACTGCCAGCAGCCATAAGCAAAAATAAATAAGAAAAAAAGTATAGCAACAATTGAAGCAAAGACAAATTCAACACAGAAAACTGTCATGTACGAGGATTTAACAGATTTAAATTCTATTTGGCAAACGCTGCAAGGACTGGGTGAGAACACATCCTTTTGTTGGGTGGCCCGCACAGGGCACGCTCCGAGTGCTGTCATTTAATATTGACCAAGGGCTTTCTCGCTCTCTCTCTTTTGCTCCTGTTTTGGCAATTTTGTGTGGGCTAATATGCTTGCCACGCCATGTGGCAGTGTTGTAGCTTTGTTGAGCTGCAGTTGCTTCATGCCAGGCCAGGCCAGCCACTTAGCCCACATTAAGAGGCGCCTCGTTGTAGCAGGCCATGTGCAAATATTTATCGATTGGCATGACAATCCAATTCGTTATGCTTAAAACTACGGGCGCCATGTGTCCGACTGCCTCACGAGGTGCCAATTCACACACACACGCACACAGAGGAGGAGACGGGGTAAAGGAAGTGGCATAGAGCTTCCCTTTTTGGGATATTAAATGAAAAATCAGCACATCCAGTACCTGGCCAACCTGGCTTCGTCTCGTGCCTGGCCTATTTTACATGTGTGCCAGCATTTTTACGCAAATTGGCAGTTAAGACAGATTGGCCCAACGACTGGACACAAGTGGGTGTGTGCTCGAAACCCTCATCTCAATTGGGGCTCTGCGTTTGTTTTGGCAGCAGCAGCAGCAACTTGGCTAACAAGTGTTTTTGTGGTAGGCTTTGGCACTAACTGTGCCTTCAGTCTGGCTCTTAATTAAAGTTGTTGTGGCTACCGTCCAGACCCGAACGTGTTAATCTGCTGAAAACTGCAGGCGGTCACTGGAGGCCTGAAGACACCACATTGGCAAGGACAAGATAAAAGTTTATAACGACTGATTTATAACACACAACAGCCCAAATAGCTGGCTTAAATGGAGGCTAAGCAAGATTTGCAAATAGTAGAGTTCAATATGAGCGCCTGTTCGACCTACAATGAAACCAAGCGGACAGTCTGAGTCGACTGAGTAGTGTAGTAGTGTAGGCACACTGAGCACGAAGTTAGGGGTTCGAATTCCTGAAAGATGAAATACAGGATTTGCAACGATCAACTCTGAAATTTAAATATTTTATATAGCACTTAAAACTTTAGTTAAAGTATCTGTTGAAATTTGAATACAAATTATCGAAATATTTGAATGTGTGATCTATATTATAATCAAACAATAGAATTAATACACTCACCTTAAAATATGTAGGGCATATAGTGTGCCACAGAGAACACGATTGAATGAATAAATGTTAAACATTTGCAGAAATGGATATGCACATGCCATTGATAAAATGCCTCAAAGTATGTGCTTTAAAATGATTTCTCCTGTTGCCAATGATACATTTGCGTGTCTGCAACTGCTGCTTGAGTGACATTTGCTGCCTCGATATGGCCAAGACGCCTTGGAAAAGGGCATTTCCAGCCATTTCCGGCGCGTTTCGTGTGTGCGTCTGTGTTTTGTGTCGCGTTGCCATTAGGCATCCGCCGCTGGACAGCAGCAGCAAAACGCCAGAGCCTCCAAGCAGCAGCAGGAGCAGCCGGAGTAGCTCTCAGCTGCCTCAGCACAAATTTTCGGCAGCATGCTCTTCCGGTTTTCGAACGCAGCAGCGCGGCCGGCGATTCTTGCGCGCCATTCAGCTTCCTGCTCCTCCAGGCCCGACCCCCTCAGGATCACTCTAGTTCAATAAGGATTTCCGTTTCAATTCGTGCGCTGCGCCATTGTTCCTCTCAACTTCGCAGTCGCCGTCGCAGTCGCTGCTTTTGCTGGTGTTGTCCATTTTCGTTTATCGAATTTTTCACTTTGACGACCTTTTGGGCAGAGGCTCGAGTTTTTACACTTTTAGCAACAATTTCCTTGGTTCCCGTTAGCCCTCGCCTTTTATTATTTATTTATTTTTGTGCTGATTTCATGCGTTTGCCTTGCGACTTTTCGGCTGCTTTTTGTGCTTGATTTGCTTTCCAATTTTCAATGTGTCACTTTATGAGCGGGACCATTAATCAAAAAACAAGAAAAAAGAAAACCCAAAGAAAAGGCGAACCTGAAAAGAGCGTCAAGAAATTATTGCTTAAATAAGCGTGTTTTTTGTTTCTTATTTTTTTCTTATATTATTTTTATATAGAATAGGCAGACCTTGTGAATTGAAGCGACCGCAAAAATGTTCTGAGTTGGCAATTCTGAAAAAGTTTTTCACCCCTGCCACTTGCGCGTTTCTTATTGATTTTGCTTTTCATGCGTCATTTGGCTGGCGTTTTGCATGCAACACACAAATTGCCACGCCTCAGCGGACTAAGACAGTCTTGAGTGCATAATTTATAGAGTTTAGCGCAATGAGCGCCACATTTAAGAAAACAACAAATCAATTACAAGGGAGGCTGAGAACGCGCCGCTGTCAAAGACTGACTCAACATCTGCGGTTGTGGGAGGGTATCTGTGACAAAGACATCAGCGAAGTTCAAAAAAACCTTTGGTATGAGAAGTCCATTTGCTGGAAATGCTTTACATTATTTAGCATTATTTAAACTCTCTATCTACTTACAATTGCTTTTATAACAGCAGCTATTGCTCTTATAGGTGCCTCTCTTTTGATAGGTGATAAAAATATATTTGTGCAATGGGCACAGGAAAGTTAAAAGCTCTTTAATGAGTTTAGTTATGATTTGTTAAAGTTAAATATCAAATGATTTTAATAAATTTAATTTTAAAAGCATATTGCACCTCAAAAAAATCGTACTTTTTTATTATAAATAGAAAATAAATCAATACTGATTGGGACTTATTTTTAGTCTTTTAATTTTATAAAGATAATTTCTGCTGTATTATAAGCTTACACTTTGTCAATTTGATAAATATTGGCCTCTATATGTAACCTACCTGTATATAAATAAAATAAAATAATATTATAAAGTTGAGTATATATTTTTTTATAGACCAGCTTTACTATACTGTTATTAACAACTCTTATTAGGTTCCTCACATATATCATATAATCTCTGCTTTGAAATAATCGCCTTCTAAGCTTTTTAATTTACATATCCATCCCGAACTGCCCACTAACAATAAATCACATTTAGCAATCTAATTGTACTACAACATGTTTATCTATAAAACCAAACTACCCACTCTGCTTAAAACTCAGTTCAGCTGCCGCTTTGTTAGTCGGGATCTTCAAAGACAAACACATTTACAAACGCATCTGGCAAGTGGCAAAAAAAAAAGGACCAAAAAAAAATTAAAGAAATTTTAAAACAGCTCTTGTACAACATGTCGTATGCGGAATGTGGAAGAGCAAAAGCAAAGGCAAAGCTAAGACGAAGACCAAAGCCCAAAGACAAAGACATTCCCGCTGTTGTCGCATTTCTTTTGCAAGTGTCAAGTGTCAACGGCAAAATGA